TTTTTTTTTTTTTTTTTTTTTTTTTTTTTGATCTTGAAATTAGAATCACAGGAAGTTTCAAAGATAGTACAAAGGCCCCATGTTGCCCTTCACCCAGTTTCCCCCAGTGGTTACATAACTATAATTCAATATAAAATCTAGGAAATTGACATTGTATAATGTGTGTGTGTCATTTTATCACATGTGATTTTGTCATTGCAAGAATGTTACAGTATGGGGCTTTTTAAGATTGTTTTTTTCCACTCACTATAATGCCATCCAAATCCTTGTGTGTATCAGTACTTCTCCCTTTTTATTGCTAGGTAGTATTCCATGGTATGGGATGTACCATAGTTTATCTAGACATTCATCTATTGTAGGACATTTTGGTCCTTTCCAGAGTGGGGCTATTACAAATAAAGCTGCTAATGAACAATCGTGTACAGGTTTTGTGTGGATTTACTTAAGTTTTCATTTCTCTGGGATAAATGCCTAGAAGGGCAATTGCTGGGTCATGGTTAAGTTTGTTTAGTTTTTTAAGAAACTGCCAAACTATTTTCCAGAGTGGCCGTGCCATTTTACATTCCCACCAGAAATGTAAGAAAGATCGAGTGTCTCGGAAGCTTCGCCGGCATTTGGTATTGTCACTATTTTTTATTTTAGCTGTTCTGATAGGTGTGTAGTGATATCTCATCGTGGTCTTAATTTGCATTTCCCTGATGGCTAGTGATGTTGAACATCTTTCATGTGCTTATTTACCATCCATATATCCTTTTCAATGATGTCTCTTTATATCTTTGCTCATTTTCTAATTGGATTGGTTTTTTATTTTTACTGTTGAGTTTTGAGAATCTTAATATATTCTAAATATGAATCCTTGTGTCAGATATGTAGTTTACAAATATTTTCTTCCAGTCTGTAGCTTGTCTTTTCATCCTCTTAACAAGGTCTTTTGCAGAGCAAATTTCTCTAATTTCGATGAAGTTCAATTTATTGGTTTTTAAAAAAATTATTTTATGGATTATGCTTTTGATGTGTTTACAATGCTCTTTACCAAGCCATAGCTCCTAAAGATTTTCTCCTGTGTTTTCTTCATAAAGTCTTTCACTATTATGTTTTATAGTTAATATATGATCCATTCAAAGTTAATTGTTGTATGAGGTTTAGGTAGAAGTTTATTTTTTTTTAGTACCACTTATTGAAAGACTATTCTTTCTCCTTTTGCACCTTTGTCAAAATTGTTTGGACATACTTGTGTGAGGCTGTTTCTGGGTTTTTTTTTGTTCCAGTACTCCACTGGTACTACATACACAGTTTTGATTACTCTAGTTCTGTAATAAGTCTTGGAATGGATAGAGTGATTTCTTCCATTTTATTATTCCTTTTCAAAATTATTTTAGTTATTCTAGTTGCTTTGTGTTTCCACATAAATTTTAGAATAATCTTGTCTACATTTATAAAAAATCTTGCAGGGGTTATTTTGGGGGAGGGAGGATTTTGCTCAGAGTTGTGTTAAACCTATATGTCAGTGTGGTAGGGAATTAGTATCTTTATTCTACTTAGTCTTCTAATCCATGAATATGGTATCTATTTATTTGAGTTTTTTTATTTTTATGATCAGCATTTTGTAGTTGTTAGCATACAAGTTCTGTACCTGCTTTGTTAGAGTTAGACCTAAGTATTTCTCCATTTTTGAGTGATTATAAATGGTATTTCTGATTTCCATTTCTATGTGTTCATTGTAGTATATAGAAATACAGTTGATTTTTGCATATTAATCTTGAATTCTGTGACCTATTAGACTTTATTAGTTCTAGGAGTGTTTTTTGTTAATTTCTTGGGCTTTTCTACATAGACCATCTTGTCATTTGCAAATAGGGACAGTTTTGTATCTTCCTTTCTGATCTGGATGCTTTCTATTTCCTTTTCTTGCCTTATTGCACTGGGAAACAACCAGTACTATGTTGATCAGCAGTGTTAAGAACAGACATCCTTGACTTATTTCTGATATAAAGGGGAAAAAATTTAGTTTTTCACAATTATGTGTATTAGCTGTATGGTTTTGTCGGTATTCTCTATCAAGTTGAGAACTGTCCCCTTTCCTAATTTTTTGTTTTATCATGAATGGGTGTTAAATTTTGTTAAATGTTTTTTCTGCATCAGTTGTTATGATCACGTGATTTCTTCTTTAGCTTGTTAATGCAGTAAGTTGCATTGATTGGTCATTGATTATTGATATAGCCTTGTATCCCTGGAATAAGTTTATTTGGTCATGTTGTATAATTCTTTTGTAAGTTGTTGAATTCTCTTGTGCCTGAATTCATGAGGTATGATGCTGATCTGAAGTTTTCTTTTTTATACTGTTTTTGTCTGGTTTTGGTATCAAGAATACTGGCTTCATAAAGTGAATTGCAAGTGTACCCTCCTATTTTCTTGAAGAGATTATGTGGAATTGATGTTAATTCTTTAAATGGTTGATAGAATTCTGCAGTTAAATCATCTTTGTGTAGAAAATTTTAAGGGGAACTTTTAAAAACACAGATTTAATTTTCTTGATAGTTAAAGGGCTATTCACATTAACTATTTCATATTGGTGAGTTGTAATTTTTGCTGTTTGAGGAATTGGTCCATTCCATCTAATGTAAAATTTATGTGTATGGAGTTGTTTGTAGTAGTCCTTTACTGTCATTTTGATATCTGCAAGGTGTCAAGTGATAAGCCTGTATTTCATTCCTGAAATTGGTAATTTATGTCTTCTCTTTTTGTCAGTCCTGTTAGGAGTTCGTCAGTTTCTAAAAAAAAAAACAAACCTCTCCTTTTTATTGGTTTGCTATGGGTATATTTTGCACTTTTACTGGTTTCTTAAGGTGGGAGGTTAGATCATTGACTTGAGACTTTTCTAACATAAGGATTTGGTGGTATGAATTTCCGCCAACACTGCTTTAGCTGCATCTCATAAGTGTTGATAGGAAGTGTGTTGTATAGTTACTAGGTGTTGGGAGACATTTCTGTTAACTTTCTGTTCTTGATTCCTAGTTTGATTCAACTGTCAGAACATACTCTTTTCCCTTTTTTTTAAAATATATTTTTATTGATTTCAGAGAGAGGAAGGAAGAGGGAGAGATAGAAACATTAATGATGAGAGAGAGTCATTTATCAGCTGCCTCCTGCAGGCACCCCAGTCAGGATCAAGCCTGCAACCCGGGCATGTGCCCTGACCCGGAATCAAACCTTGATCGTCTAGATCATAGGTTGATGCTCAAGCGCTGAGCCACTCCAGCAGGGCAGAGCATACTCTATATTATTTTGATTCTTTTACATTTTTTAAAATATGTTTTTTATTGATTTGAGAGACAGAAAAAAGTATTGATGCAATAGAGAAACATCGATTAGTTGTCTCCCACACCCCCCCCCAACTGGGGATCAAACCCGCAACCTGGGTATGTGCCCTGACCAGGAATCAAACCAGTGAACTTTTGGTGCATAGGACAGTGCCAACTGAACCACACCAGCCAGGGTGTTTTTTTTTTGAGATTTGTTTTATGACCCTATTTTTGTTCCATGGGAGCTTGAAAAGAATGTACATTCTGCTGTTGGATGGAGTGCTCTGTAAATATCATTTAGATTCTATTGGTTGATAATGTGGTTGAGTTTATCTATATCTTTGTTGATTTTTCTACTCCTTTTATTATTGCCATACGAGTGTTGAAGTCTCCAGCTATAATTGTGGATTTTTCTCTTTTGGTTCTGTATCTTGCAGCCCTGTTGGTTGGTGCATATACACTTTGCTATATCTTGGTGGTTTGACCCTTTTATCATTATGTAATATCCATCTGTAGTAATTTTCTTTGAAGTCTCTTTTATCTGGTAGTAATTTAGTCATTTTTGCTTTCTTTTGAGTAATGTTTGCATGGTATGTCCTTTTCCAGTTTTTTATTTTTAACGTACGTATATCATATCTGAAGTGAGTTTCTTGTAGGTGGCATATAGTTGGGATATGTTTTTTTAATCCACACTGTTGAACTTTTAGTTAGTATATTCAGACCATTTATATTTGAGCCTTAACATATCAATTATTACATTAAATCTGCCTTTTAATTTCTCTGGGTTTTTTTCTCCTAACTTTCTGTAGGTTATAGGAACATGTTAATTGCATTTTTATTTGCCAGTAGTATTTCTGAGTATATTTCTTTGTTTAGCTTTTTTGGGGTTTGCCCTGTATGTTATATGTATAACATATATGTGATGTATACATTTGTCCTTTGAACAGTCTAGTGGTTTAGAGGATGCTGACCCCCGAATTCATGTATAACTACAGTTAGCCCTCTGCATATGAACCTGCAGTTCAAAAATAACTTTTATTCAGTGGGCCTGCACAGTTCAAACTCTGCTGTTCAAGGGTCACTTGTGTGTCAGTCTACTTAACTATATCAACATTTTACCAGTTCAAGTGAGGTGTAGAAACCTTACCTTCCTTTACTTCACTTTTTCCTCCATTTATCATATAATTGTCTTAAATATTCCCTTTACAGTGAAGAACTACATCAAATAGCATTACAGTTTTTGCTTCAACCATTAAATATAATTTAAAAACTCAAGAGGGAAAAGTGAATGTTGTATTTACTCATTTTTACTTTTTTATCTTCCTTCCTAATGTTTGATGTTTCAAGATCCCTTCTTATATCATTTCCTTTCTGTTCATAAAACTCTCTGTAGCTGTTCTCTTAAGGCAGGTGTGCTGGTGACAAATTCTCTTAGTTTTTCATAGTGTGAGAATCTCCTCATTTCCCCTTCATTCCTTAAAGGTATAGTCACTGTATATAGGATTTTGTGTTGTAGTTCTTTTTTTAAATATTTGAAAAGTGTTGTGGCCCCTCTTTCTGGTTTCTGTGGTTTCTGATGAGAAATCTGCCATCATTGAAATTGTTCTTCCTGTCTTAACTGCTTTCAGGATTTTTTTCTTTGTGTTGAGTTTTTATGTTTGATTATGATGTATCTTAACACAGATTTCTTTGAGTTTATTTTTTTTGAGGTTCAATCAACTTTTTGAATCTGTAGTAGGTTTTGTTTTGTTTATAATTGCTCACTGGAGCTTTTTTTTTTTTTTTAATATATCTATTGATTTCAGAGAGAGGAGGGGGGGAGAGAGAGAGAGAAAGAGAAAGAGAGAAACATCAATGATGAGAGAGTCATTGATTGTCTGCCTCCTGCACGCCCCCCCCCCCACACACACACACACTGGGAATCGAGCCCACAACCCAGGCATGTGCCCTGACCAGGAGTTGAACTACTATCTTCTGGATCATAGGTTGATGCTCAACCGCTGAGCCATACCAGGCCAGGCTTACTGGAGCATTTTTATGATGGCAGCTTTAAAACCATTGTCAGATAGTTCTAACATTTGTGTCGTCTCGGTTGGCATCTATTTTCTCATTAAAGTTGAAATATTTATTTACTTATTAGTGTTTTATTTATCTATTTATTTATTTGAGTACATTTATTAAAGCTGGAGACAGTGAAAAAGGGAAGGGCTTAGGGTAGAAGAAGCAACAGGAGAGAGCCGAGGCAGGGCTGCTATTAGCTCTCTGAAGTTAGAGAAGAGGGGCCTTGTGGACAGGTTTTCCTCTTCCGTTGGTTGCAGGTTTCATGGGGCCCCAGAGTTTAAAAAAACAGCAACAAACATGCCTGAGAGGAGGGCACAGGTGCACTTAATGGAGAGCAGGGATATTTTTGTTTCTTGATATAACAAGTGCTTTTTGATTGAGATCTGGATATTTTGTGAATTAAGTTTCAATCTCGATCTTATTTAGATCTTCTACAGTAGGCTTCCTCTGATAAGTTTTCAGCTGGGGAAGGGGAGCACTGTTTCATGATTGGCAAATAGCAGGGGAAGTTCACGTTCCCCACACTGTTGATTTGGTGATGGTGTTTCATTACTGCTGGGGTGGGAGTTCAGGCTTTCCACTGCACCTCAGGTGACACTACCCTGGCAGAAGGGGCTGACAGGACTCATAACTGCGGTATCCTCTGATACCACCCCAGCCAGACGGAAGGGTTACCTCTTTACCATGAAGGGCAGAGGGAGTTAGGGTTATTATGCACTGAGATGCTTAGTTACCACCTGAAAAGGGTTTCCCACTGGGTCTTTGCTGGTTCACATGGGGGCAGGTCCACAGTTTTTTCTGTGGTATTTGGCTATAGTAGAAAATGTGTCTGAGATTTTTCTCTCTTGCTAGGTTGCCATTTCCTGGTCTCTACAGTTATAGAGAGCAGGCTTTGGGATATGGGCGTTGGGTTGGGTTGTCTTCACCTGTTAGAATTGTTGAGTTGCTGACTTTTCTAGCATCCAGCCTGAGAAACATACCAGGGAACTAAATTTCCTGCATATCCCTGGATTCCTAATCATCTGCCTCCTCTCTGCATTACAGACTTTGAGGTTGTACTTAGAAAGGTTGTACAAATAAGGAAAAGTATATCTAGTCTGTCATTTTGGAAGTAAAAAGGCTGTAAAATTTCTGCTCTTAGAACTTAATCAGATAATGGGAAAAGATTTCTGCCTTTTAGGTGGGAAGCTGGATTGAATGAATTATATTATATTGGTGGTCTCAAGTCTGGCTCTGCATCAGAATCACTGGGAGAACATTGTAAAAATAGATTCCTAGACCTTACCCCACAGATTCTAAATCTGGCACAAGGACCTAAGAATGTGTAATTTTAAAAATCTCTTTAGGTGATTTATGTGGGTGAATTCTTTACCTCCCTGTCCTTTAGTTCTCCATGAGGGGACTCAACTAGGACCCTTTATCAGTGTTGTCAGTGAGAAGCACTTGCACAACTATTTTACAGTTCTGTTTCAACCACCTATCTCAGAGATTCTGATTCAGTAGTGCTGGGACCAGGATGAGTTGAGAAAGCTACAGGCTATCAACTCACTAGTGCTCTTAGTTAAGAGTCATCAGACTAGGTGATGTGTAAGGTACTTTACAGTAAAAGAACTTGTAAACATAGTCCTGGGATTTTATATAATCTAAAAAAGGCAAGAGAAGAAAAAAAGCATGCTGTCCTCACCCTAATCTTCCCGTGGCCTTAGAGTTCAACTGTTTAAATGCCAGTCAACACCACAGGGTTGCCACATGTGTTTATGTAGACTGTGTCCTGTGAAACTTCAGGAGGCACTCATCACCTCCTCCAGGCATTTTCCTTCCTGGCACCTATTGAGGTACATTGTAAGATGTTCAGCAGCATCTGTGGCCTGTATTTAGTAGAGGCCAGACACATTGCCAGATGTCCCTTAACTGACAAACCACGGGACCTACACAGTAATCTGAGTAGTGCCCACTAATTTGCAAATTTTCTTCCATTGCTTTCTTTACCACTTGCTGCTTAAGAACAAAGATTTGAAGTTAGATGATAGGGGAGGTATACTTAGCCTATTTCAATCCCATCCCCATATCAATGTCTTAATGTTAAACCCACTGCTTTTATACCTTTATATAGTATGATCTTTAAGCCCTTCTGTGAATCCATTAGCTTTCCTATGACATCTGTTGAGCACCTACCATGTAGCACAGACACTGGGGATGAAGGATTAATAGTATAAAGGGAACCAGGTGGAGTTAGAAGTGAAATGAGCAGTTGGGTAGGGAAGGAAAAAACTAGTGAAATAAGCAGGAGCCATATTGAAGAGCCATATATTCTAATACAATGTTTGTAACTTCACCTTTGCTATAAAACACTTCAAGTATCTGAATGCTAATGTATCTAGAGCTGAATTTGGTGTGGTTTGGAAAAGCAGTTGTGACTTCCAAAATGAATAGTTTGGACATTGTAATGCTTTTGCATTGTCAAAATCTATTGTCCTTAAATGTGGACATTGATTCTATAACTATAAATGAATGTACATCATTTTACTTAGTAGATGGATAACCAAGTTCTGTGAGCTGTGGATTCTAAAATGATAATAGAGAAAAGCTTTGTTTTAATATTTATAATTCAGTTCTGTAAGTAATATATATTTTTTTCTCATCTGTTTTTTAAAGTCTTGTGAAAACGCCATTGTGTGCTGGAAACCTGGCAAAATGGAAGATGATATAGATAAAATTAAGCCCAGTGAGTCTAATGTGACTATTCTTGGGCGATTTGATTACAGCCAGTGTGACATTTGGTACATGAGGTTTTCTATGGATTTCTGGCAAAAGGTAGCAACATTTTTACATTTTGAAATTATTTGACTTAGAGCCATGGTAATTTTAGTTTTCTCTGTTATGCACCTGTATTCTGTTTTCTTTAAGAATCTACCTTGATGTTTTATATTAATTGCTTTGGCCTTTGATGTTATTTATTCTATCCTTGTGGCTCTGAACACCACCTACAGTGCTTATTATAAATGAAATTCACAGGTGTCAGTATTGACAGGTGTTTATTTTCTGTAACATCTGTTACTAAGATTTACTGTTTTTTAAAGTCTTATCTATATCATATTAGAGTTAATATTTTTATGAGGCTTTTTCCCAGAAAAATTAAAAAAAAAACCAACATGGGAGATAGAGACAAAATACTAGTTATCTAAAAATTTTAAAGAAATTTGGTGTTAGGATTTTGTGGTAATTAATTACTTGGGTATTTATAGGAAAGTTTTTGTAAGGGCTTTCTATAGCTTTTGCTACAATTCTTTAAGGCAGAATAAAGAGTACATGTATATCGTATAAATTGTGAAGCTCATCATAAATTTGCAATATGCCTTCTTATTTATTCAAGACACCTCTGTGAAGCATTAGTTGCTCTTATCCCCACTTACAAATAAAAAATACAAGATGCAGAGAATTAATCAAGAGCATAGCCATAGGCTAAAGCTGAGGTTTTCCCAAAATAAGAAAGATGTCTTAGGATTGCTTGTAATCTTTAAAGTTTATTTTAACAATTTGGTGTTTTTTAAAATATGTTTATTACAGATGCTTGCATTGGGCAATCAGGTTGGCAAACTTTATGTTTGGGATTTAGAAGTAGAAGATCCTCATAAAGCCAAGTAAGTATTTAGAAATTCCTTTTTATAATTTCTGCCTTCATATTTTTAATGTTATACCAAATATAGAGGAAGTAATTTATACTTGCAATGCCATCTTTAAATCAGTTGTAACATTTGCATGTATCAGAGTATTTTAAAATATTTTTTTATTCTAATGATTGTTTTTCATGAGTACTTTGATAAGTTATTTTTTTATATAAGTTATATGGTGCCTCTTGAATTTAAAATAATACCCAGCCTGCCCGGCCGGGCGTGGCTTAGCAGTTGAGCGTCGACCTGGGATCCATCCAGGCTATCAGGGTTCAATTCCCGGTCGGGGCACATGCCCGGGTTGCGGGCTGCAGCCGATCAATGGCTCTCTCATCATTGATGTTTCTATCTCTCTCTCTCCCCCTCTCCTTTCCTCTCTCTGAAATCAATAAAGATATATTTAAAAAAAAATAAAATAAAAATAAATAAAATAATACCCAAATTTTATGAAATTTGAGATTGAGCTCTTAGTGAAATGTATTCTGGTTTCAAATGCTTTCTGTGTGAGCTGGAACATCTATTCAGCTTCTGATTTATTGTTTTAAGTTAAATACTGGCAACATTATGAATGTATGGTATTTAACCTGTTGTCATGTTTTCTCCCTAGATGTACAACACTGACTCATCAAAAATGTGCCACTGCTATTCGACAAACCAGTTTTAGCAGGGATAGCAGCATTCTTATAGCTGTTTGTGATGATGCCAGTATTTGGCGATGGGACCGACTGCGATAAAATACTTTTCCTAATCCAATTAGAGTGTGTTTTCTGTGTACAATAGAATTAATGTATCTTGCTAGTAAGGGCACATAGAGCATTTAGAGTTGTCTTTCAGCATTCAATCAGGCTGAGCTGAATGTAGTGATGTTTACATTGTTTACACTCTTTGTACTGTCTCCTGCTCAGACTCTACTGCTTTTAATAAAAATTTATTTTTATAAAGCCACGTGTTATTTTATTTTTATTGTGATGAAAAGAAATGTTGAAAGTAATAAAATTATGCCTTATCTTTTTGTAACGATCGTTGTTTTGTAGTTCATTTAACCGGAAAAAGCTATATAATGTAATAAGTAATTATGTTTAAAATTTTGTTGAGTTGTTTCAACAATAGGAAATAGGGGAGAAGCTGGGAGCTACATTGTGCTCTGTGAAGAGGGGGCCTGAGTCTGAAGAGGTCTTTGAGGCAGAGAAAGTATATGGTTGCTGTTGCAAAGATAGGCTAAGAAAGGACTGAGGTGTGCCTTTGTGGTTTGGGGCTTGGAACAGGACTGGATAGAAATTAGATGTCTTTAAAGTTGCTTTTTAAGCTAATACCTGAGAAGGGCAGAGGTCTAAATAATTAATGGTCATCTTGTCCAGAAATGCTTAAAGCATTAAAATGCTCATTGAGGCAAAGGGGAGAGTCATTTGGCTTAACTGCATATTCAAGCTTGGGTGAGGTACCATCTAGGACAATAATTTTTAAATTTAAAAAAAATGCAATACACAGGAAGAAATAGACTACATATATTATATGCCAATCTCACACATATACATAAACAAAATGTTCCATGAAACAATACACTTGTTTGATGTAATCTGACATTTTCTCTTTTTTTTGGTAATGCAGTGTGACTCACTAAATTAATTTCACAATCCAATAATAGATCTCAACAGTCAGTTTGAAACACTGATCTAGGGGAAATGAGTCTAGATGGCCTTTACGAAGGACCCACATTGTCAGAAATACAAGCTTACATTAAAAATGTTACATGGTCTCTTTAACCACAGACCATAGCTCTAACACTATAAAGATTGTAACTTCACCTACTTTCATTTATCACCTCTGGGTTTCCCCTGTTGTGATTTGTAGAAAATGGCTATCATTCTGGAATTGAACTGGTGGATTTCAAAAAAGGGTTCTTGGTATTTTGTGGTCATTTTCTGATGCAAAGCAAGACTGAAAGCAGACTCATTTCACCTTCCTTTGGTTCATTTACCCCAGACTAATGTGTAAAAAGTTGCATGATTTCTGTTATGTTTTGTGTAATGGAGTGTGTAGTATTTGTGTTTAATTCTAAAACTATTGTGAGTTGTCAGAAAATCACTGGTTGTGAGAAATGCATAGTACTATATTGGTCATTATATGATTTTTAAAATATTTGATGCAAAATTACTTTTTAAACTGCTAAAATTTTGTATTAAAAAAGGTTTGGTTTATTTTTCTGAAAAACTGGGAGTCAAGGTTTAATAATCCCAGTTCTGAGTAAGCGTTCTGCATTGTTTCCCTCAAATCCCTGAATAAAACTGGCTGCAACAGTGTTTGTAACTCTTGCAGGTCAAAACCCTTTGTGAAGGGCTCTCCAAAATAATTTCTTATCTTGGCCTTAAAAATGTGAGCTCCAAGTAGCCCGAAGAGAATCATTTATAATTTCATTGGCCAGGTTTGCAAAGCATTGCATTACTTAGGCCCCTGTATAGACCTGTGCCAAGCAATGGTTCCCAAATGCCGGTCTGTGGAAAAAAATTATTTAGGGAGCATAAGACATCTCTGAGTCCCAACCTAAGAGATCTAAATTCAGTATTTTTTTTTAAAGCTTGCTCAGGTGATTCCAACAGATTAAGTTTATCTTAGCCCAACCCAGCACAACTTTACACAGTCATTTGAAACTTTTTCACTGTGGCTAACTAGTGCCTCAAACTCATGTTCAAGGATACTGGTGGGAGTGGTAGAGAATTGTTAATTCTCAGTTCTGCTGTCTGTTGAATCAACTGCTGAGCCACACCAGCTGGGTAATTCCACAGTTCTTGGTGTTACAAGGGCATAACAGGACAGAGACCTTATGGCCTAGAAAACCTAAAATATTTACTATCTGGTCTTTTGCAGAAAACATTTGCTTGACCCTGACCTAAAGAGAACTTCTCTGATGACTGAAGCATGTTCTCAGCCCTCTCTAACAGGTGCTAGAAGCTGGGACAGGACAGACATTGAGGTCCCTTCTTTCTCCTGAGCTCCCCACAGGCATTGCTGTGGTCTTTGGCTCCAAGTGGGGAAAGATGGAGGGGAAGGCAGCAAAGGAGAGGAGAATGAGCTGATAAAGGAGAGTTCCTAGAACCCAGAACACCTGGTTGTTTGCACCCCTCACTGGAGAGTGCAGAATTCTGTGACATACTAATTCAACAAATATGTGGAGATTTACTGTATATTGGGTACTGGGTAGCAAAGATAAGAGTCCTGTTCTTGAAAGGCTCATAGTCAAGAGTAGTCAGGCTCCCTAAGCAGATCTTTATACTGTCAAGTGTCAACTACAGATGTGCTTAATACATTAATTGTTGATATACTTTCATTCATTCAGTAAACCCCCTATTAAAAGCTTACTAGGGGTTAGATGCTGGGCTAGGCACTAGAAATATGATGGTAAACATAACAGATATATTCCCTGCTCTCTTGGAGCTTATATTCTAGTAAGAGTTGTGTTAGAATGCCCGGCCGGCATGACTCAGAGGTTGAGCATTGACCTATGATCCCGGAGATCACAATTCGATTCCTGGTCAGACCACATGCCCAGGTTTCAGGCTTGATCCCAGTTGCGGGCCTGCAAGAGTCAGCCAATCAATGACTGTCTCATTGCTATTTCTCTCTCTCCCTCTTTCTCTTCCTCTGTCTGAAATCAATAAAATTACATATTTTTTAAAGAGATGTGTTAATTATAACATCAGCTTTAAGTAATAGCCAATTAAAATTGGCTTAAGCAATAGAGAAATATATTATCATGCGTAACCATAAGTACAGAGGTAGGATTGGCTCCAGGGCAGGTTGGTTCAACAGCACAAGACATTAAAAAGAGTGCATAATCAGCCAGGGTTGGTGTTGCTCAGTGGTTAGCGCATTGGTCTGTGCACCAAAGGGTCATGGGTTCGATTCCCAGTCAAGGGTACATACCTGGGTTGCTAGTTTGCTTCGGCTACCAGTCGGGTTGTGTGCGGGAGGGACCCAATTGATGGTTCTCTCACATAGATGTTTCTCTCTCACTCTCTCCCCCTCCATCCCTCCCACTCTCTCTGAAAGCAATAGAAAAAATACGTGAGGATTAACAAAAATAATTTTTTTAAAAAAATTACATGAAAAATAAAGACTGTAATCATAAGTACAGAGGTAGGACAGGCTCCAGGGCTGGTTGGTTCAACAGCACAAGACAGTAAAAAGACTCAAGTTGGCCCAGCCAGTGTGGCTCAGTGGTTGAGCATCAACCTATGCACCAGATCAGGGTTTGATTCCTGATCAGGGCACATGATGGGGTTTTGAGCTCGATCCCCAGGAGGGGGCCTGCAGGGGGTGGCCAATCAATGACTCTCATCATTGATGCTTCTCTCTCCCTCTCTCTGAATCAATAAAAAAGCATATTAGAAAAAACAAACCAGATTCAAGTTGTTTTTATCTCTTTGCTCTGCCTTCCTTCCTGGTCGTGCTGACTTTTATCTAAGGCTCTTTGAAGTTTTGAGAAGGTTGCTAGTAAACTCCAGGTGTCACTTTCAGATGTGTCAATGTACTGAGAAGGTGATCATCCCTTCATGTGACTTTAAGACAAAGAAACCTTTCCCAGAAGCCCCCAGCAGACTTCCTCTCAGGTTTCATTGACCAGAATTGGGTTATGGGGCTGATCCTAAACCAATCACTGCAAAGGGAATGGAAAATTGTTGATGAGACTAAGCAGGGACTTCCTTTGGGGCTTCTGAGTCCCATGAAGGAGGGGTGGATTCCTGAACAAAATTGGGGTTCTGTTAACAAGGAAGAAGTGGGGCAGTGGATATTAAATAGTTAACTACCAGTATTTGTTATAGGGAAGGAAGATAAAAAGTAAACACATACTGTGAAGGAACTACATAGAAGTTAGCTTTTGCTGCATAATAAAACATCTCAAATTTATTTAGCTCATTTTGCAATACATTTTGAAAATGGGAAGTGTTAATTCTCCATTTTTTTTTTTTTTTCTTCAAGATTGGTTTGGCTATTCTTGGTCTCTTGTAATTCCTTATAAATTTTAAAATCAAGTTGTCAATTTCTGCAAAAAAGTCAGCTGGGATTCTAATAGAGATTGTATAGAATCTACAGATCAACTTAGGAAATAATGCCATCTTACCGATATTAACTCTGCTGACCCATGAACATGGGATGGTTTCCATTTATTTAGATCTTTAATTTCTTATAACGTTTTGTAGTTTTCATAGCACAAGTTTTACACTTCTTTGTTAAATTTATTTCTACATATTTTATTCTTTTACAATGGCATTGTCTTCTCAATTTCATTTTCGGATTATTCATTGCAAGTGTTTATACAGTTGAATTTTGTATATTTATCTTGTATCCTGCAACCCTGCTGAACTTCTTTATTAGTGCTAGTATTTTTTTTAGTGGATTCCTTAGGATCTTCTATATACAAGATCATGTCGCAAGGAGATAGTTTTACTTCTTAATTTCCAATCTGGATACCTTTTATTTCTCTTGCCTAATTGCTTTGGCTGGAACCTCCAGTACAATGTAAAATAGAAATGGCTAGAGCAGGCATCTTTGTTTTGTTCCTGATCTTAGGAGGAAAGGATCCAGTCTTACACCATTAAGTATGATGCTAACTGTGGGATTTTTGTAGATGCTCTTTATCAGGTTAAGGAAGTCCCATTCTATTCACAGTTCATGAAATGTTTTTTGATCATGAAAAGGTATTTGTTGGATTTTTACATGATCCTTAAGAAGTGACCCTCCTTCCCTATGGATGAATTAGTAAAAGATAGCCCTCTCTTCATGGATGATATAGAAAAAGATATATCCCACCTTCAAGCAGATGTTTCAGAAAAAGTCACTACGCCTTCTGGTGGACACAGTCCCACACTGGTGTGTTTGACTTGGTAAGCCAAGTGCTCCTCTCTCACCTGGGTACCATTATTCAGGGCCTAATTTGTATATGATGGTCTTGCCATACAATCACTTTTTTCAGTACTTGGGGCCTCTTCTATTCAGAAATTTTTTCCAGAGATTTCATGT